TGGCTGAGGTCGCTGCAACCAGAGGCAGTTTTCCAGGTATGTGGCTTCAAGAGGCCATAGGCTCCAAGGCAGGAATGGGCAAACCCAGACCCGGGGGCCGGATCTGGTCCCTTGGACTCTTTACTCAGACCCCCCTCTCTTACTATCCTATCCTTTCTTCTCTCTTTCCTTCCTCCTTCCCTTCCTTCTTTACCTCCCTCTTTCTCCTTCCCTCCCTTCCACCCTTTTGTCTTTCCTTCCTTCTCTCTTTCCTCCCTTCCACCCTTCCTACCTTCTCTTTATCCTGGGAATATTGCAGGCGCAATTGGTGGGGACGAGGGAGAGGGCCTTCTCGGTGGTGGCCCCCCAACTCTGGAACTCACTTCCCAAGGACATCAGACATGCCCAAACTCTGGCAGTCTTTAGAAGGAGCGTGAAAACGTGCTTGTTCCAGTGTGCCTCTCGTCCCCACCAATCGCGCTTGCGAATGAAATGGGAGCGCGAGCAGGGCCTCTCCAGATGATCGAAGAGATCATGTGGGTTCATACACAGAAATGTGGTCATGCAGGTAGGCGTGGAAGAAGCGCACATTTTGGAAACCACAAAAAAGAATGCTATTTCCCCCCTGTCTATCCATCAAAAGCAGAGGATCAAGAACAAATACAATTTGGGTTATTCTGCTATTTTTCCTCTCAGCCAGTGACCAAGCCAATCTATAAAAGTGGAAGACATGGGGCAAGGAAGACACTGTAAATCCATTTGCTAGGAAGCAATGTGAAAGCGAGTCGTTCTGAGTGTGTGGGTGAAGGGATTATGCAACTAGCTCTAGAGCTGCTGCTGCTGCTGCTTTTGACCTTCACAGATATCTAAGCCTTAAGAATAAAGAAGAATGTATTACATCTCCCCCCTTCTCTTAAGGGCATTAAATCCCTCACAAGAACAGAACTGCAAAGTGGAAGTGTGGTTAGACAGAACTATCTAAAGGGAGTAGAACAGGCATGGGAAACTTTCTAACTTGGAGGCTGCATGGCAGGCCGAAGCAGAGTGAACGGGCCGGGAGGGGGGGAAGGGGTTCTCCCGAAGTCCCTTTTCTGCCCTTTCCTCTTCTTTTTCAGAGGTAGAAAGTGAAGTAAAGATGGGAAACAGCTGGATCCCAAAAGGGTTGGCCTTGGTCAGGATGAAATGGTGGATGGGTGAGAAAAAGTGTCTCCATGAGACCCCGTCTTGCCTGACTGTGAGAGCCGTTCAGCAGTGAAACTCTTTGCCCCGGAGTGTGGTGGAGGCTCCTTCTTTGGAGGTTTTTAAACAGAGGCTAGATGGCCATCTGTCAGGGGTGCTTTGAATGCAATATTCCTGCTTCTTGGCAGGGGGTTGGACTGGATGGCCCATGAGGTCTCTTCCAACTCCATGATTCTATGATTCTACTCCTGATATAGAATCCTAGAACCCTAGAGCCGGAAGAGACCCCCAAGGGCTATCCAGTCCAAACCCCTGCCATGCAGGAAGACACAATCAAAGCACTCCTGACAGACAACCTCTGTGGAAAATCCTCCAGAGAAGGAGACTCCACCACACTCTTAGGCAGCCTAGGCCACTCTCCAACAGCTCTTTCTCTCTCAGGAAGTTCTTCATAGTATTTTCAGTGGCATCTCTTAGCCTGGCATTTGAACCCATTGCTTCCTTGTGCCCTGGTCTCTAGAGCAGCAGAAAGTCAGTTTTCCCCCTCCTCCTCAATGGGACACCCTCAATGATTCTCATGTCCCCTCTCGACCTTCTCTTCTCCCAGCTGAACATCCCCCAGGAGGAAAGGAGGAAGAAAAAAGAGAAGAAAAAAGAGAAGAAAGGAAGAAAGAAGAGAAGGAGGAGGAGGGAGGGAAGGAAGGAAGGAAGAAGGAAGGAAGGAAGGAAGGAGGAAGGAAGGAAGGAAGGAGGGAAGGAGGAGGGAAGGGAAGGGAGGGGAGGAGGGAAGGAAGGAAGGAAGGAAGGAGGGAAGGAAGGAGGGAGGGAGGGAAGGAAGGAAGGAAGGAGGGAGGGACGGAAAGGAAGGAAGGAAGGAAGGGAGGGAGAAGGGAGGAGGGAAGGAAGGAAGAGGAAGGGAGGGAGGGAGGGAGGGAAGGAAGGAGGGAAGTAATACATAAAAGGATGAAAGGTTTTTGTTTAAAGAGGATAGAGATTAAAAGCAAAAAATGAGGGAGGGAGGGAGGGAGGGAGGGAGGAAGAAAGGAAGGAAGGAAGGAAGGAAGGAAGGAAGGAAGGAAGGAGGGAGGGAGGGAGGGAGGGAGGAAGGAAGGAAGGAAGGAAGGAAGGAAGGAAGGAAGGAAGGAAGGAAGGAAGGAAGGAAGGAAGGAAGGAAGGAAGGAAGGAAGGAAGGGAGGGAGGGAGGGAGGGAGGGAAGGAGGAAGGAAGGAAGGAAGGAAGGAAGGAAGGAAGGAAGGAAGGAAGGAAGGAAGGAGGAGGGAGGAGAGGGAGGAGGGAGGGAAGGAAGGAAGGAAGGAAGGAAGGAAGGAAGGAAGGAAGGAAGGAAGGAAGGAAGGAAGGAAGGGGAGGGAAGAAAGGAGGGAGGAAGGAAGGAAGGAAGTAAGGAGGAAGGGGAAGGGAAGAAGGAAGGAGGGAGGGAGGGGAGGGAGGAAGGGGAGGGAAGGAGAGGGAGGGAGGGAAGGGAAGGGAGGGAGGGAGGGAGAAAAAGAGAGGTAAGAAAGGAAAGAGAGAAGGAAGGAAGGAGAGGATGGTGAGGAAGAGGAGGGCCTGAGAAAAGAGTCCAAAGGGCTGCATCCGGCCCCTGGGCTTGGGCTTGCCCGTACCTGGAGTAGAACAATCAAAGGTTAAAAACAACAACAGAAGAGTGTGAGGTTCCCAAACTGTTTCTATACTTGTGCGTTTGCAAGTGCATGTTAATGTAGGTATATGTTAGGTTACTGCAGGCATAGGCAAATTTGGGCCCTCCAGACGTTTTGGACTTCAACTCCCACAATTCCTAACAGCTGGTAAGCTGTTAGGAATTGTGAGAGTTGGAGTCCAAAACACCTGGAGGGCCCAAGTTTGCCCGTGCCTGGGTTAGTGTGTTTGTGTTTGATTTAGTTTTGTAGTATGCTGTAGTGGAGAGTTAGACAGTCATTTAATTTTAGTGAGATTGTACTTTTTTTTGTTCTTTCACTATGTTTGCTACGCATTATTGGTCTCTGAATAGAAATTAGTAAAGATAAACAGGATCTGCAGCCATACGCAGTCTTCCTCCAACGTACTGAAGCCCCAATGCAATTTCCCTCGTAATTACCCCTGATGCAATCCTGCCATCGGTGTCTCCCTCAAGGGAAAGAGCTTTGGGTAGACGATTGTAAACATGGGCTGGCTGCAACGGTGGCAATGTCCCAGGGGGCAGTGCAGCAGTTCCAAGAGACTTCTGGGTAATGAGATCGGCGTCAAGAACTGCAAATCTACAGATAGAAAACACAAAAAGAGTCTGACTTTCCAGAATGTGAGGTGCGTGGTAGAGTTCTCTCGGCATAAAACAGGCAAAAGGGAAAACATGGTGTAGATCGGACTAAGTTCATCTAGCTAAAGAAAATCTATAATGGGTTGTTGTAGGTTTTTTCGGGCTATATGGCCATGGTCTAGAGGCATTTTCTCCTGACTTTTCACCTGCATCTATGGCAAGCATCCTCAGAGGTAGTGAGGTCTACCTCTGAGGATGCTTGCCATAGATGCAGGCGAAACGGCAGGAGAAAATGCCTCTAGACCATGGCCATATAGCCCGAAAAAACCTACAACAACCCAGTGATTCCAGCCATGAAAGCCCTCGACAATACAAAATCTATAATGGGTTGCTGTAAGTTTCTTGGGCTGTATGGCTATGTTTCAGTAGCATTCTCTCCTGACGATTCGCCCACATCTATGGCAGGCATCCTCAGAGGTTGTGAGGTCTGTTGGAAACAAGGCCAGTGGGGTTTATATATCTGTCCAGGGTGGGAGAAAGAACTCTTGCCTGCTTGAGGTAAGTGTGAACATTGCAATTGGCCACCTTGATTAGCATTGAATAGCCTTGCAGCTTCAAAGCCTGGCTGGTTGCTGCCTGGGGGAATCACAGAATCATTGAGTTGGAGCCATCCAGTCCAATCCCCTGCCAAGAAGCAGGAAAATAGCATTCAAAGCATCCCGACAGATGGCCTTTGTGGGAGGTGTTAGCTGGCCCTGATTGTTTCCTCTTCAGAATCCCCTTGTCTTCAGACCTCCAGTTGTTTTGGACTTCTACTCCCACCATTCCTAACAACCTCAGGCCTCTTCCTTTCCCCTCTTAGCCACTTAAGCTTAAGTGGTTGAGGGGGAAAAGGAAAGGACCTGAGGCTGTTAGGAATGGTGGGAGTTGAAGTCCAAAACACCTAAAGGTCTGAACTTTGCCCATGCCTGCTTTAGCTGGAGATCTTGCACCGAGTGAAGGGTTGGACTCATTGCCCCCGAAGCCCCTTCCAACACTACAACTTTATGACTGTAACCAGCATCAGAAGAGCATAAGGTCTCTTCCCACTGCCAAATTCCATGCAATATGGCACATAATTTTGGGCCAAGGTTCTCATGCTGGCCCAAATACCAATCACCGTAGCTGATAGCTACGGAAGAACAGAATGCTGGCTTCTATATTGTACAACCTCCTGGGCAAATTGATGTTAGGTAACTGTATATACTTGAGTATAAGCAGAGTTTTTCTGCCCCTTTTGGAGGAGGGGGGGGGGCTGAAAAAGCCCTCCTTAGCTTATACTCAAATCAAGGTTATTTATTATTTTACTCTGCTATTATTATTTTTATTACATTTATTATTTTACTCTATTATTATTGTTATTATTACATTTATTATTTTACTCTATTATTATTGTTATTATTACATTTATTATTTTACTCTATTATTACTTATATTATTACATTTCCATTATTTTKCTCTATTATTATGATTATTATTACATTTCCATTATTTTCCTCTGTTTATTATTGTTATTATAAGCTACCTATCTGACRGCATCTCTGCCTATGAACCCACCAGGACTTTGAGATCTTCCGGGGAGACCCTGRTCTCGATCCCGCCTGCTTCTCAACCACGGCTGGCGGGGACGAGAGATAGGGCCTTCTCGGTGGTGGCTCCTCGGCTGTGGAACGCCCTTSCCTCGGACATTAGGCTAGCACCATCCTTAATMGTATTCCGTAAAAAAGTGAAGACCTGGCTGTTTAAGCAGGCGTTCGAATAATTAGTGCAATGACCYGTGATGAATATAGGAATGGAATAATGGTTGACGAATCTGGATTACGTTCTTGTGGATGAGACGATAGTGAAGTTATTGTYGTAATTGCTTATTAATTGTGTGATGTGCTGAMTTATTAATTGTTTTTAATATTGTGGTATTGAATTTTTGCTATTCTTGTTGTTGTGAACTGCTGTGAGTTGCCCTCGGGCTGAGAACAGCGGTATATAAGTAAAGTAAATAAATAAATAAATATTTATTATTTTACTGTATGACATTTATTATCTTCCTCTATTATTTCTATTGTTACATTTCCATTATTTTCCTCTATTATTATTATTATTACATTTATTATTTTACTCTATTATTACTTATATTATTACATTTCCATTATTTTACTCTGTTATTACTTATATTATTACATTTCCATTATTTTACTCTGTTTATTATTGTTATTATTTATTATTTTACTGTATGACATTTATTATCTTCCTCTATTATTTCTGCTATTGTTACATTTCCATTATTTTCCTCTATTATTATTATGATTATTATTACATTTATTATTTTACTCTATTATTATTGAAAGGATATGAAAGCACATTGACATTGAAGAAGGTTAGAACAATGGTTTAATCAGTGTTGGGCCAGAATGTCCAATTCTGAGGACCACAATTGAAAAGAGATATTGACAAGTTGGAATGTGTCCAGATGAGGGCGACTAAAATGATCAAGGGTCTGGAGAACAAGCCCTATGAGGAGCGGCTTAAAGAGCTGGGCATGTTTAGCCTGAAGAAGAGAAGGCTGAGAGGAGATATGATAGCCATGTATAAATATGTGAGAGGAAGTTGCAGGGAGGAGGGAGCAAGCTTGTTTTCTGCTTCCCTGGAGACTAGGACGTGGAACAATAGCTTCAAACTACAAGAAAGGAGATTCCATCTGAACATTAGGAAGAACTTCCTGACTGTGAGAGCCGTTCAGCAGTGGAACTCTTTGCCCCGGAGTGTGGTGGAGGCTCCTTCTTTGGAAGCTTTTAAACTGTGGCCGGATGGCCATCTGTCGGGGGTGCTTTGAATGCAATATTCCTGCTTCTTGGCAGGGGGTTGGACTGGATGGCCCATGAGGTCTCTTCCAACTCTAGGATTCTATGGGCAGCCTTATCTTGAATTAAAGTTTTATGTAAATATTCAAAAACATCCAACCTCTCTAGATGCCTCAATTAATATAATGTTATGGGTATCTATTTTTATTTTGAAATTGACCAGTAGCTACTACATTTCCCACCCTTGGCTTATACTCAAGTCAATACGGTTTCCCAGGTTTTTTTGTGCTAAAATTAGGTGTCTTGGCTTATATTCGGGCCGGCTTATACTTGAGTATATACAGTAATTTCAAAAAGAAAAAAAGCATTTAAAAAGTAAATCAGCAACTGCAGCGGTCCTGAGCTAGTAGAGGAGTGAATGAGCTTCAGCAATGACAGGAGCAGAGACAAGCATTAAAAGTGGTGAAAAACTTTATTGAAAGAACTACATTTCTATATAGGAAAGTTAGGGACTACCTACCTATAGATAGATTTATTTATCTATCTCTTTGGAGACATGTTGTCTCTCTCCATGCTCGTGGGAGAGAACAAAGAGAAGACTCTGGGGCTTCCCATGTGGCTAGAAACGTTTAATAAAAAGAGAAATGTTCCTGAGAAGTATCAGTCTAAAGAAAAAGAATTAGGAAGCAAGAATAGAATCACAGAATCATAGACTCCTAGAGTTGGAAGAAACTTCGAGGGCCATCCAGTCCAATGCCATTCTGCCAAGAAGCAGGAAAATCATCTTCAAAGCCCCCCCCCTCCCCGAAAGATGGCCACCCAGCCTCTGCTTCAAAGCCTTCAAAGAACGAGCCTTCCCCACACTCTGGGGGCAGAGAGAGAGTTCCACAGCTGAACAGCTCTCCCTCACAGTCTTCTTTCTCATGTCCTGGTGGAATCTCCTTTCCTGTAGTTTGAAGCTATTGTTCCATTGCGTCCTAGTCTCCGGGGCAGCAGAAAGGAAGCCTGCTTCCTCCTCCTTATGACTTCCACTTGATCCATGGCCCTCCTCATGTCTCCTCTCCACCTTCTCTTCTGCAGGCTAAACATGCCCCGCTCTTTAAGCCGCTCCTCATAGGACTTGTTCTCCAGACCCTGGATCCTTTGAGTCGCCCTCTTCCTCTGGACACATAGAATCATAGAGTTGGAAGAGACCTCATGGGCCATCCAGTCCAACCCCCTGCCAAGAAGCAGGATATTGCATTCAAAGCACCCAACAGATGGCCATCCAGCCTCTGTTTAAAAGCCTCCATAGAAGGAGCCTCCTCCACACTTCAGGGTAGATAGTTCCTCTGCTGAACAGTCAGGAATGTCTTCCTAATGTTCAGGTGGAATCTCCTTTCCTGTAGTTTGAAAACATTGTATTCTAGTCTCCAGGGAAGCAGAAAACAAGCTTGCTCCCTCCTCCCTGTGACTTCCTCTCACATATTTATACATGGCTATCATATCTTCTCTTCTTCAGGCTAAACATGCCCAGCTCTTAAGCCGCTCTTCATAGGGCTTGTTCTCCAGACCCTTGATCATTTTAGTCGCCCTCCTCTGGACACATTCCAGTTTGTCAATATCTCTCTTCAATTGTGGTGCCCAGAATTGGACACAATATTCCAGGTGTGGTCTAACCAAGGCAGAATAGAGGGGTAGCATTACTTCCCTAGATCTAGACACTATACTCCTATTGATGCAGGCCAAAATCCCATTGGCTTTTTTTGCCGCCACATCACATTGTTGGCTCATGTTTAACTTGTTGTCCACGAGGACTCCAAGATCTTTTTCACACGTACTGCTCTCAAGCCAGGCATTGTCCCCCATTCTGTATCTTTGCATTTCGTTTTTTCTGCCTAAGTGGAGTATCTTGCATTTATCCCTGTTGAACTTCATTTTGTTAGTTTTGGCCAATCATCTCTCTAATCTGTCAAGATCGTTTTGAATCCTGCTCCTGTCCTCTGGAGTATTGGCTATCCCTCCCAATTTGGTGTCGTCTGCAAACTTGATGATCCTGCCTTCTAGCCCTTCATCTAAGTCATTAATAAAGATGTTGAACAGGACCGGGCCCAGGACGGAACCCTGCGGCATGAAGACCTTCGTCACTTCTTTCCAAGATGAAGAGGAAGCATTGGGGAGAATCACCCTCTGGGTTCGTCCATTTAACCAATTACAGATCCACCTCACCATAGTTTTGCCTAGCCCACATTGGACTAGTTTGTTTGCCAGAAGGTCATGGGGGACCTTGTCGAAGGCCTTACTGAAATCCAGGTACGCTACATCCACGGCATTCCCCGCATCTACCCAGCTTGTAACTCTAGAAAAAAGAGATCAGATTAGTCTGGCATGACTTGTTTTTGATAAATCCATGTTGACTATTAGCAATGACCGCATTTGTTTCTAAGTTCCTTAACAATCTTTTCCAGAATCTTGCCTGGTATCGACGTGAGGCTGACCGGACGGTAACTGTTTGGGTCATCCTTTTCTCCAAACCCTTGATCATTTTAGTCTCAGTTTAGAGTCAACATCTTCCTTCAACTGAGGTGCCCAGAATTGACACAGTGTAAAATGGTAAGGCACGATTTCCCTGGATCTAGGCATTAGACTCCCTTTTATGCAGGTCAAAATCCCACAGAGCCAAGGCAATGAGGGCAGTGAGAGAAGAGCTTTCCCTACCCGCTAACCCGCCTGCCTACCTCTTTCCTTGATGAGGACTCCAAACTTGTGCAGGAGGTGTTTGACTTCCAACCACTGACTGATTTGCTAACTCATGTTCACCCCGGTTATCCTCCTCCACATCTGCCCATGAACTCCCAAGGACTTTGAGCGAGCTCGATATTCAAGTTGTGATCAGAAGCCAAGGTCCCATGTGGCGAAAGGCTGCAAACAGCAGACAAGCCATAGGCCAGTTTGGAACACAAAGCCTGAACTGGGGCAGAACTAAAGCAGCTCAGCTGTCACGTTGCACCGCAATGGCCAAGAGGCTGCGAGCGCTTGTTGTGCCTCCTGCCGAAGAAGCCTGCCAGCGCTGGAGCCGGCTCCCTGGAAAGGAGCGGCATTGTTGGATGGAGCACTGCCTCTTGCCTCGGGAACAGGATTACTTCTGCTTCTCCACTCCGTCCGAAGGCTGCGACTGCAAAAAGACTTCAGCCGGTCCGCAGCCTGCGCATGAAAAGGCTCCTAAATGACTTTCACCTCTGAAGCACAACAATAAGCGGTCTGCTGGGGCCTCGGTATTCCTACCATGAACGTAACTGTGGAGTTTTAAGAAGATGGTCAGAGATTCAGCTTCAAGTGACAGGCACTTCCAATAAGCTTCTTCCCTTCCGCATAAGCTTCTTTACTTAACCTACCAACATCCTAGATCTTCTTATCTATATCTCCTTTGTGTCCCTGGTCGGGTTGTTGTTCCTAGGACTTTCAGTCTTCAGCCAACTCTATCTATATAAATAAAAATGTAATGTTCGTTTGTGGGATTAACAGAACTTAAAAACCACTGGATGAATTGACACCAAATTTGGACACAAGACACCTAACAACCCAATGTATGTCCTTCACTCAAAAAAATTGATTTTGTCATTTGGGAGCTGTAGTTGCTGGGATTTATAGTTCACCTACAATCACAGAGCATTCTGAACCCCACCAACAATAGATTTGGGCCAAACCTCCCACACAGAACCCCCATGTGGGCCACAGCAACGCGTGGCAGGGGACGGCTAGTCTTCAATATAATAATAATAATAATAATAATAATAATAATACTTCATTTATACCCCACTACCATCTCCCCATGTCATTGATTGATTTTGTTCATTTGTTCAGAAAGGAGGAAACCATGAAAACGAACAAAATCTGGCTACCAGTATTAAAAAAACTCTAACATTACAACAGCAAAACAACAAAGGGGAAACAATCAATGACATCTAATCACCTCTCAACAAAAGATTGCCCCAGGCACTGCCAGGCCATCAATTACTAATCAAGGTGGTCAGTTGAAACAAACGCCTAGCTTCAACAGACAAGAGTTCTTTGTCCCACCCTGGTCATTCCACAGATATATAAACCCATTTTCCTAGTTCCAACAGACCTCACTACCTCTGAGGATGCTTGCCATAGAATGTTGCTACTAAGAGGTTGCAACGTACTTTATCTAAGTTGTTGTAAGGATCAATGTTGTTTGTGCTATAACTTTAAGTTGCTGTAAGGTTCAAGGCTGTTTGTGCTACAGCTGTTTCAGTTAATTGAAGAGTTAATTGAGAGTGTTATTTTCATGTGTATAAAGATAGCTACTGTGTGTTTAGTTCTTTGCCATTGTGCGTTTATGCTATTGAGCATCTATGCCTCTGTGCCGTTCTGCTTTGTGTAAGCCGGGGACTATGCTGCAGATGTCCTGCGAAGACACAGCCATGAGAAGAGGACAAGGATTCCTGCTTATCTCAGCTGAGTAATGATATCTCTCAGAAGATATTGTTTCATGTTACTTTTGTGGAAACAGCAATCCTGCTACTTTGTTTTTGTATGCTGCCAATACTACAATATTTTCTTTTCTACTTTAAGCCGAAGTCTCGTGTGTTTTTCCTTTATGAGCTAATTTCATCACACACACAGTTAACTGGGCTAGAGTCAATCTGCATGCTACTCATGCTAACGCATGACAAAAATGTCAGGAGAGAATGCCTCTAGAACATGGCCATATAGCCCGAAAAAACCTACAACAACCCATTACTGAAGGATGTTGCCCACGTACTGAAGGAACGAGGGGGGAAAGAAAGGGGCCTGAAGCTGTTAGAAATGGTGGGAGTTGAAGTCCAAAACACCCAGACAGCCCAAGTTGCCCCATACCTGTGCTATGAGCATGTCATCCACATACTGAAGGATGTTGTCCACGTACTGAAGGAACGAGGGGGAAAAGAAAGGGGCTTGGGGTTGTTAGGAATTATGGGAGTTGAAGTCCAAAACACCTGGACAGATCAAGTTTCCCCATGCCTGATCTATCCCCTCCTCACCAAAATGAAGAAGCACAGCAAGCCAGCCAAGCTATTTCTGATGTCCATCAACACATTTCCAACCACCATATTGGCTATATTTGGAAGTGGAAGCAACCTGCTTCAAAGAGACCAGGTATTGAAATGTCTGATAAAACTTAAGACAACCCTCATCCCAATACCTTTGAGAAACCTGGAGTATGTGTTGTACAGCGTCCTCATGGCCATCTCTTGCAAAGGCAGCACGCGGTCCAAGTCTGTCCCTATGGCCTTCACTTCTGCCGGGAGGAAAATCGCCAGCCGCCCCGAGGTGAAGGAGAGAAGCTTCATCTCCGACTTGAGAAAGGAAGACCCACAGCTGGAGAGATATTTGAGAAAGGGGGAAATGTGCTTAAAGACACGCAATATCAGATAAAAGGCATGCTGCCAAGCTAAGCATAGGACGTGTTATTTTCCTCTATTGTACAGCTGGCCCTCCACATGTGTGGGTTTGATATCATCTCCATCCATGTTCAACATTTACACAAATGACCAGCCACTGCCAGAAGGGACAGAGAGCTTCATCTATGCTGATGATCGTGCCATTACTGCTCAAGCAGGGAGCTTTGAGATGGTTGAACAGAAGCTCTCTGAAGCTCTAGGTGCTCTTACTGTCTATTACAGGGAAAACCAGCTGATCCCTAATCCACCTAAAACACAGACATGTGCTTTTCACCTTAAGAACGGAAGGAATCCCACTGGAGCATTGCAGCACACCCAAATACTGGGAGTCACTCTGGACTGTGCTCTGACCTACATAAGCACTGCCTGAATATCAAGCAAAAAGTGTGTGCTAGAAACAATATCATACGAAAGCTGACTGGCACAACCTGGGGATCACAACCAGATGCGCTATGCTACTCTGCTGCTGAGTATGCATGCCCAGTGTGGAACACATCTCACCACGCTAAAACAGTGGATGTGGCTCTTAATGAGACATGTCGCATTATCATGGGGTGTCTGCGCCCTACACCACTGGAGAAATTGCACTGTTTAACCGGTACTGCATCACCTGATATCTGCTGGGAAGTAGCAGCCAATAGTGAAAGGACCAAGGCAGTGACATCTCCAGCTCATCTCTTGTTTGGGTATCAGCCAGCACGTCAACGACTTAAATCAAGAAATAGTTTTCTAAGATCATCAGAGACACTTGCTGGAACACCTCAGCAAGCGAGAGTCCAAAAGTGGCAGGCTCAAACCCAGAACCTCAATCAATCAGTAAAAGCACAGAGAGGCATTGTAGCAACGGCTTAATAAGATATGTTTAAAATTGAATACAAAACATGCACAATTAAAATAAAACCATAATTATATGGTTTGAGTATGAATTAAAACCACACAGCCATAATACCAGTAAGTAAGATTTTTAGTGTTCGTGTGTCCAGAGCAGCATGGGCAAACTTGGGCCCTCCAGGTGTTTTGGACTCCAAATCCCACAATTCCTAAGAGCCTAACAGCTGTTAGGAATTGTGTGAATTGAAGTTCAAAACACCCAGAGGGCCCAAGTTTGCCTATGCCTGGTCCGGGATGTACCAGAAATAGGCTCCCTCCCATTCAAAAAAAGCAGATGCAGAGAAAAGCTCCAGTCTGTTTTTCTAACTAATATCCTTGCAAGTTGTGTGTGTGGGAGGTGACTCTGTTGCATGAGCCTTCACCTGTGAATTGTACCTGTTGTAGAACCCAGGTGCAGATTTATCCCTTTGGTGAAAACTTTGCTTCAAAAAGAAAAGCAATGGGCAGAGATTCATTAAATCCCTGCTCGACATTTCCGTGTGTGCACAGTAGGTGCACCTGCACGAGCCAATGAATAGATGTTATGCAAGAGCATAATCTCTTCCCTTGCGCAAAGGGCTGTTTTAATGAGACTTGAAATGGGATCTGGCCTCAGGAGGCTGCATTGCCTCTAATTAAACAATTTAACCAGGATCCGTATAGGATCGCATGGTCCAAACACTACAGGAAGGAATAAAACGAAAGGGACACAGAACTATACAGGGGGCTGTTTCATACATTGTACATCGGCATTAGCTGCGCCTATTGCCAAGCAAGGAATCACAATACTATGAAGACTGACTTTGGTAACTGCTTCAAGAATTCTTCGTGGCATCCATGCTTGAACACATTTTAGAAAGAGCTTATGCAAACAGTAATAATACTATACATATACCCTATCACCATCTACCCAAAGGGACTTGGGGTGGCTCACAAAAGCACTCAATAGTGCAACACACAAAACACAACAAGTGCATAAACAATAACACAATAGCAATAACAAACAGGATAAGATCATAAACCCTTATTAGTTAAAATTTCAATAAAATGCAATAGCTGCAGATATAAACAATTTGCAATCAAGATCAGACCATAAAGTATAAGGTGGAATAGTCATTAAATCTTCTAGTATCATCATGAAAGATTCCTAAACAAGGTCAAAAGCCTATTTGAAGAGTCATATCTTCGAATTGGTTCAAAACACTTGGAGAGTAGGGGCTAATCTAATCTCTCTGGAGAAGGCATTCCAAAGCCAGGGGGCCACCATCAAGAAGGCCCCTCTCTTACCTCCACCAACTGCGCTTCAGATAGAGGTGGGACTGATAAGAGAGCCTCCCTGGTAGATCTTAGGGCCTGCGGCTTCATAGGTTGGACCCGAACTGTATAGGGCTTTGTAGGTGATAACCTGCAGTTTGAATTGAGTCTGGAAGCTTGTTGGCTGCCAGTGGAGCTGTTTTAGTAGGGACATGGTAGCTACCCTGGGTTAGTAATCTGACAGCCAACCTTTGCACTAATTGCAGTTTCCAGGCCATCTTCAAAGGCAGCCCCACACAGAGTGCATTACAGTAGTCTATCCTAGATGTAACTAAGGTGTGGACCACCATGGACAAGTCAGGCTTTTTGAGGTACAGTTGTAACTGGTGCACCAGTTTTAACTGTACGAAGGCCCTCCCGGCCACCACTGACACCTGAGCTTCAAGCGTCAGCATTGAGTCTAGGAGGACCCCAGACTATGGACCTGTATCCTCAGGGGGAGTGGGACCCTGTCGAGCACAAGTTGCCCCCTATAGCTCCACTTTGCCCAGTTCTAAGAAAACAATGCAACACAAAATCCACCATTATGATTCCAACACAGGCATATTCCTTGCCCTATTATCAGGTATGCAGAAACAATCATCTTAAAGTAATCCCAGATTTTCTGGCCAAGCAAAATAAAAAAGAGGGGCCTTTTAGCTATTAAACGTTATTAAATCAGCAGTACTATCCAGTCATTTGAACTTTCTTCTTCCTACAGAGATCTCTTCGCTAGCCTTTCCTGAGCTCCTTAGGGAGAAAAGCCCATGAAATCAGTAACATGTGCTAACGCAACTCGAGAAAGAATCCATTAATTCAAGGGAAGGTTAAGAGGAACACTCAATGTATGGCCTTCTCTTCGAAAGCACCCAACATGATGCTTCAGGAATAGTATTATTCCCAATTGCGGCACTTTGGATGACATTGGACCACAGGCTCCATGCTCCTTTCCCCACTGGCTATGATCGATGGAAGTCATAAGCCAACTTCTGGAGGGCCACGACCTTTAGTTATGAAAGCTCCAAAGACAACTTCCATTTTCAGCGGTGACACAAACACACACCAAGGCTTCCCAATGTGAGAATCCCAACTTGAATTTATCAACTTTCATTAGGATCAGCAGATGTCAGCGATACAAAAAACTTGAAGAGAGACGAGCGTTCTGAAGGCTCTCCAACTCCATGGTCACAAAATGAATTAAGCAAAAGTGGCAACGTACAGGAACAAACTGATTCAAAGTGATCACAGTCAACAGGCAGAAGACAGCATCTGAGCAGGAAATGAAGAATGACGTGCTCAAATGTTTGTTTTCTGGTGTCTGGTACACTGCATGAGGGGCGATAGGGAAATAATCAGGGAATTAAAGGGGAGAGAAGAAGAGAGTGGCAGCTGAACTCCAGCTCTGGGTCCCTGGAGGGAAGGCTTTCAGTGTGACATTGGAGACCAAGGTTCAGATCCTGACTCCGCAACAAAGATCATTAGACAGCCTTAGATAAGACTCTCTGCCTTTCTTTCTCTCTTTTCTGGCAGGAATTAATCACAATACAGGATAAGGTGCTTTCAGGATTCAAGAAGAAGTGTGAAAGAGATGGGCAAAAAAAAGAAACATTCATAGAATCACAGAGAAGCAGGAATATTGCATTCAAAGCACCCCTGACAGATGGCCATCCAGCCTCTGTTTAAAAGCCTCCAAATAAGCAGTCTCCACCACACTCCGGGGCAGAGAGTTCCACTGCTGAATAGCTTTCACAGTCAGGAAGTTCTTCCTCGTGTTCAGATGGAATCTCCTTTTTTGTAGTTTGAAGGCATTGTTCCGTGTCCTAGTCTCCAGGGAAGCAGAAAACAAGCTTGTTCACTCATCCCTGTGACTTCCCCACACATATTTATACACGGCTATCATGTCTCCTCTCAGCCTTCTCTTCTTCAGGCTAAACATGCCCAGCTCTTTAAGCCGCTCTTCATAGGGCTTATTCTCTAGACCCTTGATCATTTTAGTCACCCTCCTCTGGACACATTCCAGTTTGTCAATATCTCTTTTCAGTTGTGGTGCCCAGAATTGAACACAATATTCCAGGTGTGGTCTAATCAAGGCAGAATAAAGTATGGGGAGCATGACTTCCCTGGATCTAGACACTATGCTCCTATTGATGCAGGGCAAAATCCCATTGACTTTTTGCCACCACTTCACATTGTTGGCTCATGTTTAACTTGCTGTCCACGAGGACTCCAAGATTTTTTTCACATGTACTGCTCTCGATCCAGGCATCCCCCATTCTGTATCTTTGCATTTTGTTTTTTCTGCCTAAGTGGAGTATCTTGCATTTGTCCCTGTTGAACTTCATTCAACAGGAACAAAGAGAGACATGGTAATGGAGGTGATCTCCACTACAATCATCTAAATCAGGTTGAGAAATGGGACAGATCCAAGGCTGCCCACAGTGAATAGTAGAGCTGAGGGCACGCAGAATTGTGAAACCAGCTGCCATGTTCCTTCCCGGGATGCTACTAAAAATGACACTGTTCCTTTCCCTGTCCTAAGATCTGTCTGCGCCATTGAATTTTCCGACGATGAGCTCCACCATCTTTTTGTATCTGGCTCTGCCCTCAAGTTGACATCAAGTAGAAAACAAAGAAATATGTGCCAATGGTATATTCCCTAATCAACACCATCAAAAATGAACTGCGAAAAGGATGATTGTTTTAGGGAAATTGTCCCAGAGACAAAAGAACAAGAAGCAACCTCTCGTTTTGGTTTGGCAACTTCCACAACGTGAAGAGTAAAAGCTTTCTTGGTAACAATTCAGTAAATGTCCAATGCTACAGCCTGGAGAAATGATGACACATTAGTTTTTTTGCACATCCCCCACCACCATTTTCCTAACAAGGAAAGGGAGCTCAGTTCTGCGCCTCCTCCTACTCATGAACCACCGTCTCCTTCGCCAGATATAGAATCCCTTTCTGTCCAACGTAAGGGGCGTGTGTAGTACCCGCAGGTCTATTTGCATAACCACCTGACAGAAGGCAGCCCAGACCCACAGGGGGGTTCTACCTGCATTTGCTACTTTCTTTAATGTATGTGCTTTCAAGTTTTGCCAATGATGCCTAAAGCACATAGAGAGATGCTTCTTAAAGTACAAATACACCCAAATTAAGCAGGGATGTGGTATTCTGTTTGCTAAGGGAATAAGTTCAGCCACAAAATGACTGTCTTTAATAGAAAAAGCAAGTAAATAAGATCCACCACACCATCACAAGGCATGAATTCTATGAACAGAAAGATGGAGTAGCTATGGGGAGCCCCCTCAGCCCGGTCATAGCTAATTTCTACATGGAACACTTTGAAAAACAAGCCCTGGAAACAGCAACAAAAAAGCCCACGATATGGTTCAGATATGAGGATGACCCTTTCACCATTTGGAGCCATGGAGAAGAAGAACTAAACAGGTTCCTGGATCATCTCAACAGCATCCACCCAAACATCCAATTCACCATGGAAAAAGAAAATGAAGGAAGGCTGCCTTTTCTAGATGTCCTAGTCATCCGTAAACCAGACCAACAATTGGGTCACACCGTTTACAGAAAACCCACACACACAGATAGAGACCTACATAAAAGCTCCAACCATCACCCAAGTCAAAAAAGAAGCACCATTAAAGCCTTGGCAGACTGTGCAAAAGGAATCTGCGAACCCCACCTCCTCCAAGATGAACTGAACCACCTCAACTGGGCTCTCCAGGCCAATGGATACTCCACCTCACACATCAGAAGAGCTGCAAGACCGAGAACAAGCCACGAGAGTAAAGATGAAGATCCTCCCAGAGGAAAAGTGTTCTTGCCATACATCAAGGGAACCACTGACCGTATAGGGAAGCTGATGAGGAAACACAACATACAAACAATCTACAGACCCACCAAGAAAATCCAACAAATGCTACATTCAGCAAAGGACAAGAGGGATCCTCTCACTTCTGCAGGAGTCTACCGTGTACCATGCAGCTGTGGACAAGTCTACATAGGGACCACCAAACGCAGCAGCATTGCCCAAACACGAATCAAGGAACAAGAAAGGCAGTGCAGACTACTTCAACCAGAGAAGTTAGCCATATCAGAGCACCTGATGAACCAACCTGGACACAGCATATTACTGGAGAACACAGAAATGCTGGACCACTCTACCATGTCAGACTACACAGAGAAGCCATTGAAATCCACAAGCATGTGGACAATTTCAACAGAAAGGAGGAAGCCATGAAAATGAACAAAATCTGGCTACCAGTATTAAAAAAACTCTAAAATTACAACAGCAAAACAACAGAGGGGAAACAATCAGGGACCTCTAATAACCTCTCAACAAAAGATTGCCCCAGGCACTGCCAGGCCATCAAATGCTAATCAAGGCGGTCAGTTGAAACATTCACACCTAGCTCCAATAGGCAAGAGTCCTTTGTCTCACCCTGGTCATTCCACAGATATATAAATCCTTTTTCCTAGTTCCAATAGACCTCACGACCTCTGAGGATGCTTGCCATAGATGCAGGCGAAACGTCAGGAGAAAATGCCTGTAGAACATGGCCATATAGCCCAAAAAAGCCTATAACAACCCAGTGATTCCGGCCATGAAAGCCTTTGACAATACATGACTACTGCTGTGCCAGACCATTTTGCAATATACAGGGAGGAAGAAATGAGCCTCCTAGGTTGCAAAAACAATGGGCAGAACTGTATGCCTAAAGCAGTGATAAAACAGGATCAAAACATTGACAGCACTTGCATTTTGAGCGAATTTTTACTCTGCTGGTGCCAAGCTTCACAGCGCATGTTCGGCACCAGAAATGTCCCCAAAACATCAAGAAACAGGCAGCACGCAAAGGGCTTAATACGAGAAGGATTCAATATTGAGAAATTTAATACAGGAGATTTAGCACAATTGCAGAGAGCTGGCAGTCAAAGTAATCTCTTCAAAGTAATGTAATGTGATGAATAAAAAAAAACTTCCAAAGGAACGTTTCCCTTGAAGGAGACAGCCTGTATTTTTGGAAAGCCTCCGAAGATAAGAAGGGACGTGGTAATAAAACTCATATGCTGTACTTACCCACTACAACCAATGACTTTATTATACAGGTAGGAGGGAAGCCCTTTCAGGTGAATGTTGTTATCCACATAAACATACTGAAGTTCTCGGGAACGACCTAAATCTGGGTGGAAGCAAGAAAAAAGGAAGACAATCATCACATTCCTCGTACATGAAAAAAAGATCTATTGATTTACTTGGCTCTGTGTCAGTGAACACTCATATCATGAATGATGCTTGATTAAAGACCGGATTAGTGGAAACAGATGAAAGCCACACAAAATAAGAGATCTCCAATTTAAATTATCCCTCAGGTCTGCTCCTTTTTCCACCTATCCTGTGATAATCCAGTATGTCTCATTAAGAGCCACATCCATGTTTTAACGTGGTGAGATGTGTTAGAATCATAGAGTTGGAAGTGACCTCATGGGCCATCCAGTCCAACCCCGTTCTGCCAAGAAGCAGGAAAATTGCATTCAAAGCACCTCTGATCGATGGCCATCCAGCCTCAGCTTAAAAGCCTCAAAAGAAGGAGCCTCCACCACACTCTGAGGGGGAGAATTCCACTGCTGAACAGCTCTCATAGTCAGGAAGTTCTTCCTAATGTTCAGATGGAATCTCCTTTCTTCTAGTTTGAAGGCATTGTTCCACATCCGAGTGTCCAGGGCAGCAGAAAACAAGCTTGCTCCCTCCTCCCTGTGACTTCCTCTCACATACTTATACATGGCTATCATGTCTCCTCTCAGCCTTCTCTTCTTCAGGCTAAACATGCCCAGCTCTTTCAGCCGCTCCTCTCCAGACCCTTGATCATTTTAGTTGCCCTCCTCTGGACACATTCCAGCTTGTCAACATCTCCCTTCAATTGTGATGTCCAGAATTGGACATAGTGCGATTCCAGATGTGGTCTAACCACGACAGAATAGAGGGGTAGAATGACTTCCCTGGATCTAGACACTATACTCTTATTGATGCAGGCCAAAATCCCATTGGCTTTTTTTGCCGCCGCATCACATTGTTGGCTCATGTTTAACTTGTTATCCACGAGGACTCCAAGATTTTTTTCACACATACTGCTCTTGAGCCACATGTCCCCCATTCTGTATCTTTGCATTTCATTTTTTCTGCCTAAGTGGGGGTATCTTGCATTTGTCACTGCTGAACTTCATTTTGTTAGTTTTGGCCCATCTCTCTAATCTGTTAAGATCATTTTGGATTCTGCTCCTGTCTTATTTATTTATTTAAAACATTTATATTCCACCCTTCTCACCTCGAAGAGGACTCAGGGCGGAGCACAGCATATATATAGCAAACATTCAATGCCGAGACATGGACAGCCTCCTTAGTATCTGGTGGAAATGAGTGATAGAGTTGGATGTCATCTGCATACAGATGGCATCGGACTCCAAGACTCTGGATGATCTCATCCAGCGGCTTCACGTAGATGTTAAACAACATGGGGGACAATATTGAGCCCTGCAGGACCCCACACGACAATGGCTGTGGGACCGAGTAGGAGTCCCCCAGCAACACCTTCTGGGAACGGCCTTCCAGGAAGAACTGGAACCACTGCAGAACAGTACCTCCATAACCCATCCCCGCGAGGCTTCTCAGAAGGATACCGTGATCTACAATATCCAAGACTGCTGAGAGGTCCAGGAGAACCAACAGGGACACATTCTCCCTGTCGAGTTCTCTGCGGAGATAATCCACTAAGGCGACCATGGCTGTCTCAGTTCTATGTCCTGGTCTGAAACAAGACTGCAACGGATCCAGATTCGTCCAAGAACCCCTGGAACTGTGAGGTCACCACACTTTCCAAAACTTTGCCCAAAAAGCGGAGATTGGAAACTGGCTGAAAGTTGTTCAAATCAGTGGGATCCAGTGATGGCTTTTTCAACAGGCTCGCTGGAATTTTGCCTTCCCAAAGGGAGGCATTCACCACCACCTTGACCCACTCTACCAAACCCCCTCTGGCTTCCTTTTTCAGCGAGGATGGGTAAGGGTCCAGGATGCATGTGGTCGCCCTCGCCTCTCCAAGAATCTTGCCAATGTCCTCAGGTTGCACAAATTAAAATGAGTCCATTAAAACCGGACAAGCAGGTGCTCTTGCTACATCTCTAGAGACTGCAGTAACTGTGGCGTCCAGGTCGGAGCAAATCAGAGCGACTTTATTGGCAAAGAACCGAGCAAATGCTTCACAGCAAGCTGTCAAAGAGCCAGGGACCCCGTCATAGGCAGCAGGGTTCAACAAACCTCTGACCATTCGAAACAGCTCAATTCCTCGTGGACGTAATGTTGGCTGCAATGTGAGATTTACTTGCAGCCTTCACTGCCGCAGAGTATGCCCTTGCATAGGCGCACACCTGTGCTCGATCTGACTCGCTGCGAGATGATCGCCACACTCACTCTAGACTCCTCTTTTTTCACTTCATCGCTGCCAGCTCCTCGTTGAACCCGGGAGCTGGTTTAGCTCTGCTACTCGAGAGGTCTTCTGAAGTATTGGCTATCCCTACCAATTTGGTGTCATCTGCAAACTTGATGATTATGCCCTCTAACCATTCATCTAAGTCATTAATAAAGATGTTGAACAGGACTGGGCCCAGGATGGAACCCTTCTGATGGCACTTTGCTCATCACTTCTTTCCAGGATGAAGAGGAAGCATTGGTGAGAATCACCCTCTGGGTTCGTCCATTTAACCAATTACAGATCCACCTAACCATAGTTTTGCCTAGCCCACATTGGACTAGTTTCCTTGCCAGAAGGTCATGGGGGACCTTATTAAAGGCCTTACTGAAGTCAAGATACGCTAAATCCACGGCATTCCCCTCATTTACCCAGCTTGTAACTCTATCGAAAAGAGAGATCAGATTAGTCTGGCATGACTTGTTTTTGATAAATATGTGTTGACTATTAGTGATGGCTGCATTTATTTCTAAGTGTTTGCACACCACTTCCTTAACAATCTTTTTCAGAATCTTGCCTGGTATCGATGTGAGGCTAACTGGACAGTAAATGTTTGGATCATCCTTTTTTCCCTTCTTGAAGATTGGAACCACATTTGCCCTCCTCCAATCTGCTGAGACTTCTCCTATTCTCCAAGAACCCTCAAAGATGATTGCTAATGGTTCTGAGATTACTTCCGCTAGTTCCTTCCACGTTAGGCATGTGTATTCAACAGCAGAGTAGTCAAGTGCAAGGGCAGATATCTTCACTGTGTCCGGTTGTGATCCCCAGGTTGTGCCAGTCAGCTTTTGAATGATATTATTTCTAGCACCCACTTTTTGCTTGATAATTAACCTGTGCTTCTTATAAGTCAGAGCACAGGGGGAAAGTAAGGGGCCTGAAGCTTTTAGGAAGTGTGGGAGTTAGAGTTCAAAATACCTGGAGGGAGGGCCAAAGTTGGTCCATGACTGGTCTACGATGTCCATTATAATGCAATTCAAACTGGATTATATGGCAGTGTAGATGGGGCCTTAGACACAAGCCCTCAACCACGGAAGACACATGTCTGCACATCTATGTGCCAATCTCAAAAATAACGAAATCTCTGCCATGCCAAATCAGAACATGTTTTCTAAATGTTCAGTAGTTGCAGTTAGAAGTGGTTCTTCTCACTCTCTGATGCTTCTGAGTTATAAGCATCTGATCATGTCATAAAACTTGCAAAATGCCTTTTCACTGAGCACATTCCTTCTGGGCCTCGTGAAGCAAGGAAGCTCTCCATCTGATGCTACAAAGGACGTTTTCAGAGGGCTTTTCAAAGCGCCGTGGCTTGTTTAAAAGCATTTCCACTTCCCTCCTACCAGAGAAGGAGATCAAAGCCTTTCTGCTAAGACTGACCAAATGGCATGAGTCCTGAACAGACCCCAATTCAAGGTTTTTTCCCCTCTCGCTTTGACCTCAAGGCGCTGGCATATGCATTCCACATGGCTGAAGATGGAACAAAAGGTCTTATGTGTCTGCCGTGATGTTCTTTAACCCTATTGTGAAAGCAGAAAGAGAGGCGAGCTGCACACGCCGGGACAACGAAGCCCTGTGTTTATCACACTTTGGGGTTCTAGGACCTCTTTATGAATACTAAAGGCGTGTTGCGGTTATACCAGAAAGGTCTTGGCTATCAAATGGATCTAGTTCTGTCCTCAAGATACCATATTGCAAAATAGTCAGGCACAGCAGTAGCCATTTCATGTGCTTATGGATAGCATTGATGTTGCTTTTATGTGCCTCCAAGTTAAGCCCAACATGGGGCAAACCTGTGACAGGATTTCCTAGGCAAGACTTAGCCAAGGGAGGTTTGCCATTGCCTTCTTGTGAGGACAAGGGAGTGGAACGTGCCCAAGGGCATCACTGGTGGATTTTCACAACCGAGCATGGATTGGAATCTGGCCTAAACCATTAAACCACACTGGCGGCCTTGTAGTCTGTATACCTAACCTTTGCCCAAGAGTAGCCTCAAAACTATCTTGGCCATGGAGCAGCTTCACAATTTCCAGCCTCCCTCCTGACTTTGAGTCTGACAGCATTAACTGCACAACTGCTGGGTCCATATCACCCATAGTTCCTTTTCATTTCTCTATTCTTGTGGAAGAGAGCTCTCATTCCATATTTCCTACCACTGTATTCTATTAAGTATAGATTTACTTATATGGCAAACATTCCAAGCCATCATATAATTAACAACAAAGACAGACAGTACACAGACAGAGGCAAAGGCTTCCACTTTTCCATCTCCAGCATCTGGAGACTGTGTTCAACCCTGGCCATGGGGAGGTGCTCTTGATCTATTTTCCATGCCGAGGAGCCTGTTGTCTGTGGATGCCTTCCTGATTGATCAAGGGTCTGGAGAAAAAGCCCTATGAAGAGTGGTTTAAAGAGCTGGGCACGTTTAGCCTGAAGAAGAGAAGGATGAGAAGAGACATGATAGCCATGTATAAATATGTGAGGGGAAGCCACAGGGAGGAGGGAGCAAGCTTGTTTTCTGCTTCCCTGGAGACTAGGACACGGAACAATGGTTTCAAACTAAGAGAGGAGATTCCATCTGAACATTAGGAAGAACTTCCTGGCTGTGAGAGCTGTTCAGCAGTGGAACGCTCTGCCCTGGAGTATGGTGGAGGCTCCTTCTTTGGAGGCTTTTAAACAGAGGCTGGGTGGCAATATTCTTGCTTCTTGGCAGGGGGTTGGACTGGATGGCCCATGAGGTCTCTTCCAACTCTATGATTCTATGATTCTATGGTTGAATTGCCGGCATGTCTGCATGGGTACCTTTTAACTCCCCGACAAAGTGGTACCTATTGATCTACTCGCATTATTGTTTTTTAACAATAAAGCTAGGAGCTAGGGCTGACGGCCAGGAGTTCACCCAGACCTGCAGCTTGAACTGCCAACCTTCCAGTTGGCAATATTTTCTGCAGCTGGTGGTTTAATCTTATTTCTTATTTCTTTATTTACAGCATTTATATACCACTTTTCTCACCCCTAGGGGGGCTCAAAGTGGTTTACACATAGTTAATGGCAAAAATTCAATGCCTTACAACTACAACAGTAAAACCACACTTTAAACATAAATCATATTAAAAACAGTACATCATCAAATATCAAAACAGTTCTTAAAACCATAAAACAATCTCATCAGTTGAGTCGCCGTTCCAGTCCTTGTCCCACTAAAAGCTGCATACATCTATTGTCCAAAGTCCTGGTCCCAGAACCATGATTTTAATTTTTTTCTAAAGGTCAGGAGCAAGGGAGCAGATATTACCTCCTTTGGGAGTGTGTTCCATAGGAGGGGGCCACAGCCGAGAAGTCCCAGCTTCTCGTCCCCGCCATCCGCATTTGTACTGTTGACGGGAGCAAGAGCAGGGCCTCCCCGGATGATCTTAAATTGCGAGGTGGGACGTAGGGGCAGATGCATTTGGACAAGTAAGCTGGGCCCGAACCGTATAGAGCTTTATAGGTCAAAACCAGCACTTTGAAATAGGCTCAGAGATGGGCCAGCAGCCAGTGGAGCTGGCATAGCAGGGGGGTCGTATGCTCCCTGTATACCGCTGTTAACCTGCTGTGCTAACCGCGGCCCCTAAAGAAACACACAGGGCATCCATTCCACCTTCCTTCCTGATCAGTAACCCTTTAAAAGCTCCTACTTTCAGGCAGCACCTTAGCATTCAATACACTGGGGGAAGAGTATTCTAGGTTTAACTTCAGACAGATGGCTAGAAAACACAAAGAAACATCAACCACTCTACTCTTGTAATGTCTTTCTGCATACAGTGCTTCTGATGGTATCTGAAGACGGACAAGTCTGTAATCGTGCAATGAGACACTAAAGGATGTCAACTGTGGCTGGAAATGGAAGCAGTTTAAGGCAGGCATGGGCCAAGTTTGGCCCTCCAGGTGTTTTGGATTTCAACTCCTACCATTCCTAACAGGCTCAGGCCTCTTCCTTTTCCCCCTCATCCGCTTAAGCCGACTTTGGAACTCACTACCTGGAGAAATTAGGAAAGCCCCTACCCTAGAAACCTTTAAAAAGGACCTTAAAACCTGGCTCTTCCGCTGCGCCTTTGGAGAGTAGGTATATAATCCCACACTACTGCTTAGTCTCAACTTTCTGTCACTGGAGTATATGTCGTTGTCCCCTCTGTGGGAAAGCTCGATTCCACAACCTCCGCTATAATGAGCCTTCCTCTGCAAATAATCTGTCTCTTTTTTATCTCGCCCGAGTTTTAATTAGTTTTAATTAGTCTCTCTTTTAATTATTACATGTAGCCCGTCCATTGTCATTGTGATTACGCCTATTGTAATTTTATATTGTTATGTATTTACATGTTTTATTTTATAATGATGTTGTTGTTTATTGTTTGCGTTTTCGGTTGTGTTTTGGTTTTATTTTATTGTAATTTGTTGTTCGGGCTTGGCCTCATGTAAGCCGCTCCGAGTCCCCACTGGGGAGATGGTGGTGGGGTATAAATAAAGATTATTATTATTATTATTATTATTATTATTATTACCATTATTATTATTATGCGGCTGAGGGGGAAAAGGAAAGGGCCTGAGGCTGTTGGAAATGGTGGGAGTTGAAGTCCAAAACACCTGGAGGGCCCAAATTTTCCCATGCCTGGTTTAAGGGAATCAAAAATTATTTGAAATGGGATTGGCTTTCCCATAGGGTACATACCCAGTTCCCTCTCACTGCTCTTTCCATTGCCTTCTCTGTGCAAACACAGAAGATACAAACACCGTGGTTGAGAAGGCAAGCAGGAAAGGAACACATCCCACAAGCACCAGTTGCACGTTCAATCCGCCTCCAGTTTCTCACTAGCCAGGATGCCCAAAATAATACAAAAAGGCCTATTTCCTTTACAATGAAACGTAACAATTTGTCAAATACTGAGAGACTTCATATAAAAAGCATTTTCCCCCAAATTGTTTCTATATCAGGAGAATCTGTAAACATAATTAAGGAATGGCACGGCTGTAAAACATATAATTTTGCCAGTGTAAATATATGAATTTGTATATTTGTTGTCAAACAGCACATTGTTAAATATCCAGACAGTAAGCAACTTCATTCTAAAGCATGTTTTCCTTCCAGCATTAGGGTTAATTTTAATGCATTCAGTGGACATAACTGCAACCAGCCTGTGGAACAGAACAGCAAACATATGGAGAGACATCTGTGACCATTCCAACCCAACTATGGCTAAAGCCCTTTGTGAAAAAGTCCCTCCTACACACGATCAAGACAGGAGGGCTTTCATGGGCACCGGTTGCCAGACGAGGAAGGCTTTTCATGTTATGTATATCCCCTTAAACCCAAACCCACAGTCTGAAGTTATTTTTTGAGGCATCACTAGTCCCCTTCAAAGAAAGCCTGCTTTGAGGTTTCAGTACCGATTCCAAAATTCAAAAATGGGCACATGTGTGTGTGCGAGATTGTTTCTAGGGCAGCCATTTAAAGATGTTGTATTTATTTATGCAATCCACTGAAGGGGACCCACAACAGACACAAAAACGTCCTCTACACTATATTCTCTGAATATAATAACAATATCTCAATACTTCCAGTAACTTGGTTTCAGTCACCCCAACTATGCAATATATATTCAGTAGGAATGTGGTCATCCTTGTTTAATAATACCCTTGCTAACTGGAGACCAGGAGGCCAGCTTTAGCACAGAAGGTTAATCATCAGCTGCAGTAAATCTTGCCAATCAAAAGGTTGACAGTTCGAAGCCAGGTCAGAGTGAGCTCCTGACCTTCAGCCCAGCTCCCCTGCCCACCTAGTGGATCGAAAACAGCAATGTGAGTAGATGAATAGGAACTGCATTCAGTGGGGAGGTATTTTAGGCATGGCATTTCGATCTGAAAAAGGAGGAAGATTTACAAACAAAGAATGCTCTTTGGCAAGGAGATGGAGTGACAGCACCCCCCTGTGGCTGGAACCAATCACAGCCTCCAAAGATGCCGAAAAGATTGGGGGGGGGGGGAACAAATATAAATACTTTTATCTGTTGTCTGTCTTGTCACTGTATAATCGGCATTGAATGTTTGCCATATATGTGTTCTGTGATCCACCAAGTCCCTTTTGGGGTGAGAAGGGTAGAAGATAACTACTGTAAATAAGTAAATAAATGGAAGCGAATTTGGATCTGGACTAGGACAAGGAAACTCCTCTAAATAGAGTGGAAAAGCTTGTGTTCACACTTGGCTAGTAGAGTAAAGCAAGTTACTACTCTTGTCCTTTCTATATTGTAACACAGGCATGGGCAGACTTGGGCCCTCCAAGTGTTTTGGACTTCAACTCCTTTAGACTACTGCAACGCGCTCTACGTGGGGTTGCCTTTGAAGACAGCTCGGAAGCTCCAACTAGTCCAACGCTCGGCAGCCATGATTTTAACAGGAGCGGAGCGCAGGGAGCATACAACCCCCCTGTTGCGCCAACTCCACTGGCTACCGATCTGCTACCGGGCTGAATTCAAAGTGCTGGCGTTGGCCTTTAAAGCCCTAAACGGTTCCGGCCCAAGCTACCTATCTGACCGCATCTCTGCCTATGAACCCACCAGGACTTTGAGATCTTCCGGGGAGACCCTGCTTTCGATCCCGCCTGCTTCTCAAGCTCGGCTGGCGGGGACGAGAGATAGGGCCTTCTCGGTGGTGGCTCCTCGGCTGTGGAACGCCCTTCCTACGGACATTAGACTAGCACCATCTCTAATGGTATTCCGCAAAAAGGTGAAGACCTGGATGTTTGTGCAGGCGTTTGAGTAATTTAGTACAATCTGGTAATGGAACATAGGAATGGAACAATGGACGACGAATCTGGACTACGCTGGGATGATGAGAAGATTGGGTACGGTTGTTTTTTGTAATAATTGTGCATTGTAATTGCTTATTGGTAATTTATGGATAATGTGTTAAGTCAATTGTTATATGTTGTATGGAACCACTGCTGTTTCTACTGTTTTTACTGTTTGTGAACCGCTGTGAGTCGCCTTCGGGCTTGAGATACAGCGGTATATAAGCAAAGTAAATAAATAAATAAATAAATAAATTGTGGGAGCTGAAGTCCAAAACACCTGGAGGGCCCAAGTTCCCTATGCCTGTGATAACAATACAACTCCTGCATCTGTGGAACAGTATCTGCAGTTTCATTTGTCCTCTCTAGGCATTTCCTAGGACCTCCAGCACGATTCTATGATATTCTTAGACCAGAAGTCCTTCATTTCTATATTAGCAGTTTTGCACAACTACGCAAAATCCAGTAACATATCTCCTGCGGGAATCGTATTGTACTGACACAAGAACAATGTAAGGAGAACATCAGAGGGACAAAATTTAATAATAATAATAATAATAATAATAATAATAATAAGGAAAATAACCAAACAACGACGGGAGGCAGAAAGAATCACTCACCAAGCGGCAAGAAGGCAAGGCAGTTCCCAGCCATGGACAATTCGTTGAGACTGGGAAGCTGACAGAGATGGCGAGGGACATACCATAAATGGTTCCGATCAGCAGTTAGGTACTGAAGGGAGAGGCACATATGAAGCCTTTCGGGCAAAGTTCTTAAATGATTGGTTGAGATATCCAGTGTCTGCAGCTCCCGAAGGTCTCCAACCTCTACAATGAAGATAGCAAAATGTTATTGGGCTAAGTGCACCATCTAAATACAGAGCAATTCAAAACATGTGCACATCAGGGCAGGTCCAAGATATTGGTTCCCGAAGACACATGACAAGAGGTCACATGGAAGTGAACTGGATTGTTAGCTACCATATATATTCGAGTATAAGCCAAGTTTTCAGTCCGTTTTTAAGGCTGAAAAAGCTCTCCTCGGCTTATACTCAAATCAAAATTATTTATTATATTACTCTGTTGTTATTATTGTTGTTGTTGTTACATTTATTATTCTACTCTATTATTATTTCTATTATTTTACTCTATTTTAATTATTATATTTTCTCTATTATTATTACATTTCCATTATTTTTTTCTATTAATGTTATTATTACATTTATTATTTTTCTCTATTATTTTATTACATTTATTTTTTACTCTATTATTACTGTTATTATTACATTTCCATTATTTTACTCTAATAATACTAATACTAATAATAATAATTTTATTTTTATACCCCGCATCCATCTCCCCAAAGGGACTCAGGGCGGCTTACAGAGGGACGAGCCCAAGGAACACAGATTAAAACACAGAACAATGAAATAAAATCAAAAAACAACACATCAGGACAACTGGCACACAAGTTTTAACTGTGCAAATGCTCCCCTGGTCACTGCCGAAACCTGGGGCACCAGACTCAGCGATGAGTCCAGGATCACACCCAAGCTGCGAACCTGCGTCTTCAGGGGGAATGTAACCCCATTCAACACAGGCTGTAACCCTATGCCCTGTTCGGCCTTACGACTGACTAGGAGTACCTCTGTCTTGTCTGGATTCAGTTTCAATTTGTTTGCCCTCATCCAGATTGTCACAGTGGCCAAGTATTGGTTTAGGACCTGAACAGCCTCCTTAGTAGCAAGTAGGGAAGGAGTGATAGAGATGGACATCATCTATGTACTATGTGACATCGCACCCCAGAACTCTGGATGATCTCCCCCAGCGGCTTCATGTAGATGTTAAACAACCTGGGAGACAATACTGAACCCTAAGGAACTCCACAAGACAATGGTTGTGGGGTTGAACAGGAGTCCCCCCATAACACCTTCTGGGTGCGACCTTCCAGGCCCATTCTAGCAAGGCATCCCAGAAGAATATCATGGTCGACGGTATCGAAAGCCGCTGAGAGGTCCAGCAGAATCAACAGGGACACACCCACCTTGTCTAGCTCCCGGCATAGATCATCAACCAAGGCGACCAAGGCTCTCTCGGTTCCACATCCCGGTCTAAAGCCAGACTGTGTGGGGTCCAGATAATCTGTGTCTTCCAAGAATGCCTGGAACTGTGGGGCCACCACACATTCTGTGACTTTGCTCAAAAAGGGGAGATTAGAAACAGGCCGATAGCTGACGAATTTCATGGGGTCCAGTGACGGTTTCTTCAACAGTGGTTTTATTACAGCTTGTTTTAAGCTTGCTGGAATATTGCCTTCCTGAAGGGAGGCATTAACCACTACCTTCACCCAGGTGGCCAATCCCCTTCTGGCTTCCTTTAAAAGTCAGGATGGGCAGGGGTCTAAGATATATGTGGTTGCCCTCATCTCTCCAAATATCTTGTCCACATTCTCGGGTTTCACCAATTGAAATGAATCCATCAAAATCACACAAGAAGATGTTCGTGTTACATCCTCAGAGACTGCAATTAATATGGTGTCCAGATCAGAACGGATCAAAGCGACTTTGTCCGCAAAGAACCGAGCAAATGCTTCACAGTGGGCTGCTGAGTAGTCAGGGTTCCCATCCTGAGAAGTGGGATTTAATAGACCTCTGACAACTCTGAACAGCTCCACTGGACGGTTCCTTGTGGTTGCAATATTGGTTGCCAGAAAGGATTTCTGTGCAGCTTTTATTGCAGCGGCACATGACCTTACCAGGGCATCTAGCTGTGTTTGATTTGATTCGCTTGGATCCAAACGCCACATGCCCTCTAGTCGCCTCTTCCTTCACTGAAGTTGAACCAAGGAGCTGGTTTAGCTCGGCTACTTGAGAGGGGACGTTCCGGAGCAATCATGTTTATTGCTCTAGTCATCTCCCCATTCCAGAGAGTGACCAGGGCATCAACAGGATTATCTATCGAGGTGGAGGAAAACTCCCCAAGAGTTATTTAAATACTGACAGTCTCCTATGTGAGTCCAATGTATTCTATCTTGAATATAATTGTGAATTATTTCACAGGATCTGGAATATTCCCCTGTTTATGAACTTCAACTTTAGGCAATTGTTAAGAGTACAGTTACTGAAACACATTTCCTTTTTAAGCTAAAATATTTCATGTGCAGGAACATCCAGCACACTCCTGCCACAGCCTGTACCAACTGCTTTTATGACAATTGTCCCCGAACAAATAATCAAGAAGTGCTGTTAATTTGAAGCTCCATTAGACACAATGAAGATAAGTACAGGGAGGAAGCATCATCTCCCTAAATGGACGGAAAACTCAAGAAACAATATGAAAACATTCTTGCCAACTCTCATGAGTTTTCTGCAAAGCTTCGCAATAAAAATCACAGCCATCACGTCTTAATTAAAAAGAAGATTGTTTTCTTCTTCAGTTGCTGAATTAGGAAGGAGGGGGGTCTCTAGTACACACACACACACACACAAACCTAAAGACGAAAGCCCAAAAGAAGATAGGCCTCATTGTAACAAGGTGCATGCCCACACTTTCTCAAAGATATGAAGTCAATAAAAAAAGTAAATAGGAGCAAATAGACCAAAGAGTCTCCCATTGATAGTATATCATCAGCAGCCCACGAACGATGTGGTCATCCATTATTTGATTACTTCTTCTTTACGCAGTCGCCAAGTGTTCCACTGAAGGCCGCCTTTGCAAAGTTACACCCGACACAAAATATAGCTGTTAGTCTTGTCTGCCATGTATTTTAATAACTCTTTTCGGTGCATCTCCAATTCAAGGTGGTGGTTTTGATTCAGAAAGAGCTACGGCTAGGACATTTTGGGGGGCAAAAAACTCCTCTTGCAAGAGTGTGCTTAGAATCTGAGTTGCCATTGTATATGCTGTATCTCCAGGGAAATCAGAATCTTTCTTAAGTTTCTAGGCAGGCAGCCAGTCAAAGCTCTGTTACTATGCAGGATCTTTGGGGTTTTTTAAAAATTATTTCTATCCTGGCTTTAAATGATGTTTTATTGCAGATTGCTTGAGAAGCCTTGGTGGGCTGGACAGTGATTGATACATACTCTTGATAATAAAAAAATCAATATCAAGAAAACTCAGACATAATTAATGAACAGTACAAGCAACAGATCTAAATGTTAATTCAGAAATGTCTCTTTACACATCACTTCATTCAGTGTAGGGGGAAGGAATGTCACAGGAAAGAAAGGTTACAGTAAAAGTTGTCATAACTTGGTAACAGGGCTGGGAGAATATCCAAGCCTTGGAAAGAGTAACCAAGACAACAGGAAGAAGACAGCAGCCATGGCGGGCAGTTACTCTTTCAGTGTACAGTAGGATGGTGATAATATGGGAGTAACAGGGCCAGGCATTGAAGGAGAGGAGTGTTTTGAAGAAAGAGAATGAAAAGAGGTAACAAAAACGAGAGAAAATTATGACAAATGAAGGACTGATGTGTTAGTGCAGGCATGGGCTCTTCAAGCAGTCATCAGCCAATCACTCTGCAATGCCAAAAATACAGCTTAATTGTGTAACATTAGAAAATGTGGACCATTTCTGCTCCCTTGGAAGCCAACTCTCCACAAATGTCAACATTGACACTGAAATACAACATTGCCTGAGCTCTGTGAGTGCAGCATTTTCCCGATTGAAGAACAGAGTGTTTGAGGACTGGGACATCCGTAGAGATAGAATCATAGAGTTAGAAGAGACCTCATGGGCCATCCAGTCCAACCCCCTGCCAAGAAGTAGGAAAATTGCATTCATAGAATCATAGAATCATAGAGTTGGAGGAGACTTCATGGGCCACCCAGTCCAACCCCCTGCCAAGAAGCAGGAATATTGTATTCAAATCACCCCTGACAGATGGCCATCCAGCCTCTGTTTAAAAGCTTCCAAAGAAGGAGCCTCCACCACACTCCGGGTCAGAGAGTTCCACTGAACGGCTCTCACAGTCAGGAAGTTCTTCCTAATGTTCAGATGGAATCTTCTTTCCGACAGATGGTCATCTAGACTCTGTTTTAAAGCCTCCAAAGAAGGAGCCTCCACCACACTCTGGGGCAGAGTTCCACTGCTGAACAGCTCTCGCAATCAGGAAGTTCTTCCTAATGTTCAGATGGAATCTCCTTTCTTGGAGTTTGAAGCCACTGTTCCATGTCCTAGTCTCCAGGGCAGCAGAAAACAAGGTTGCTCCCTCCTCCCTATGACTTCCTCTCATATACTTATACATTGTCTCCTCTCAGCCTTCTCTTCTTCAGGGTAAACATGTCCAGCTCTTTCAGCTGCTCTTCATAGGGCTTGTTCTCCAGACCCTTGATCATTTGAGTCCCCCTCCTCTGGACACATTCCAGCTTGTCAATATCTCTCTTCAATTGTGGTGCCCAGAATTGGACACAATATTCCAGGTGTGGTCTAACCACAGCGGAATAGAGGGGTAGCATGACTTCCCTAGATCTAGGTACTATACTCCTATTGATGCAGGCCAAAATCCCATTGGCTTTTTTTGCCGCTGCATCACATTGTTGGCTGATTGTCGACGAGGCTCCCAAGATCTTTTTCACACATACTGCTCTCAAGCCACGCGTCTCCCATTCTATATCTTTGCATTTCATTTTTTTCTGCCTAAGTGGAATGTCTTGCATTTGTCACTGTTGAACTTCATTTTATTAGTTTTGGCCCATCTCTTTAATCTGTTAAGATCATTTTGAATTCTGCTCCTGTCTTCTGGAGTATTGACTATCCCTCCCAATTTGGTGTCATATGCAAACTTGATGATCCTGCCTTCTAACCCTTCATCTAAGTCATTAATA